ACCATTCACATCAAGAGTCAACAATTTTAATTTGCTGGTAGTCAACACATATTTGTTACAATGAGCATAACTTTAGAAATCATAATTCTAGTTGGTCTGACTTGAAACACAGCTGACAGCAAGTGATGTGAACCCTGCATGGAGGTAAGAGGTAGCTAAAAAAAATTATTTCATTCCTGATAGTCACATGTCAGATTAGTTTATCTGCTGTTGCTTTTCCCACAGCAGCCTATATGCACACATTATTCAAAATTCTTCTTACTGCATCCTTTGAGTGTTGCTTCTGCTGTCTTTGCTTCCTACTCTTTTGTTATCCTTACTCAGGTACCCTATGAGTCACTTTTTACACATTGTCCATTTCAGAAGAACTGTGTTTACTATTTGTCAGCACTGAAATGGTGTTAACTGGCTACTGTCCAGGATCCGAGTGCTAGTAATTTTGTGGTTTCACCTCAACTTCAGTAGAGCTTATTGAGGACATTGATGAAAAACAACTCAAGAAACTAATTATTTGCAGTGGGAGCCGATCTTACAACTTAATAAATTAGAGAGGTAATATTCATTTTTATTTATTTTGAACTTAACTTGATTCTGCACCAAATGGAGATGAAATCCCCCCCAAAACAGTCTTCTTGATTTGGTTGTCAATTTATTCAATGGACCACTGTACACCTCCGCTCTATAAGTAGTAGAATTTTGTGGCAGTTTTCAGGTCTTTTTGTTAACAAAATGTTTTGTTACTTTAAGAACTTTCTTGGGATGACATGACTTTTAGACTTAGAAAAAAGAGTAATCATTAATGGCTTAATGTCAAAATTTGTAGGGAAGTCTTAAACGAAATATCTGGATGAAGACGTAAATGGAATGCTTATCAAATTTAGAAATAACAAAACTAAGAAAGATGAGAAAGTTGTCATGACAGTACACAGAAAGAGCCTGACTAGCCAAAACATTTAGCTACATCTAATAAGAAGAAATTTTAAAAGGCAAGGGTAAAAAGTTCTAGACTTGTGTTAACGAAAAAAAAAAAATCTTCCCAAGAATAAGATGGGATAAGTATGGCTAGACAGAAATTCATCTGAAAAAGCAGTAGATTACAAGTTGAATATGAGTTAACAGTTCACCATAGTAGCCAAAAGGCTAATGAGCTCTTTGGCTACATTAAGGGAGGCCCAGTATTCAGAAAATAAGTAGTGACAATCCTTTTATATTCTGCTCTAGTGAAGTGATATCTTGAGGAGTATGCTTATTTCTGATTATTTTGAAAGAAGACAATGTGAAAAACATCTAAAGAGTGACTAGAATGGTGAGAGTATTAGGGATCATGTCCTGTAAGGATACATGAACTTGGGGATGACAAGCCTGGAGAAGATGATACATGACTGCTTCTTTCAAATATCTGAAGGACCGTCAACTAGAAAGATTAAACGTCTTCTACTTAGACTTAGAGAGCCAAATGGCTCGGCATAAATCAATCGCCAGTAAAGTATCTAACTTATTAATTATGTGGGTTGATAGCAATGGATAGAATGTGATATATTTATGCTCAATTTAAGGGGAAAAAAATCTTTCTAAAAATGAGAGCTATACCAAAGTTTAATAGGCTTTATGGTCTTGATGTGAAAGTTGGATGACTACTTCGGGGGATGTTGTGAATAAGAATGACAAGTGTAACTAAAATGAAATGGCATTTGGGGTCCCTTTTAACTAAGATTCAGTTTCTCGGTCATAACTGTCATGACTTGCGAACAAGTAAACATTAACTGAGTTTACAGCTTCTTGTTTCCTTCAGTAAGTCATTAGCAAAACTTTCATAATCATATAATGTTGAATTAGAAGTTTCCCTAGAGAATAATTTCAACAACTGTAATAATCAACAATACTAAAACTCAAGATATTGATGAACTTCATGGGGCAGCCAAATTCACTTAGGAGCTTGTTAGCCACAACACACATAGTTGAGGTCAACAAGTTAGTGCTATTCTCTATTATTTTTTTTCTTTATCAGGCACATAGCAAACTCCTAAGAGACTTTCAGAAACCAAAACAAGATCTTAACAGTTACGAACAAATAGAAGCTTACTTAATCTAAGGCATAATCAAGCAGATAATCATCTATGGAATATTAACTTTTCTCTAGTACTACATAATATTAAATAAGGAAGCAATGCACTTAATGCATAGGTTTAGCCTTCTAAAAAGTTGAATGCCTGCCACAGGAATGCTGGTCCTTGTGTGTAAAGGCTCTTAGCTCCTGGCTAATCTCTGACCCATCCTGCACACGGCTACCAACACAAGAAAAGGAAACATTCCAGCAGACCTCTAATTTGTCACACCCCAACCTTAAGCATACTACCTTCATATGCTCAGACAAACACCTCTATACCCTCCATCTCTTCTTCACACCTTCTGCTTTCACACTTTTAAAGGGAAGAGGGTAAAGAGAAAGATAATGAACCGTAAAGACTTTTAGCTGTTTTTTTATTAACATAAGGTAGGCTAAGGATACTAAGAGTAATATTTCTTGAGTTCTAGCTTTGTCACCGATTTGTTATGGATATGGAAAATCTACTAATTCACTTTTTTTAATATGTATACATGGAAAATATAGAAGACATAGAAACAAGTTTGAAATACCAGGATAGGTAGGAATGTAGGTGATTTACGATTAGATTTATTTATGCTTTTCTATATGAGCTACATAGAACAAAATTTATCCTAGCAAACACTGAGAAGTTCTGGGGGACCAAAATGTTAATATGTTGAAATAAAAAAAAAAAGCTTAAAGTTTTTTTTCAAAAAGCTATCAGTTTTAAATTTCTCTTCCTGCTCCAATTCCACAGAGGAAAAACTGACATAAATGTGACTTAAGTGTGAAATTATAACTAAATGGAAAATCTATTTCATACTATGGCAAAAGTTTAAGTTTTCTTGAATACTAAATTTACAAAATATGTATACAGATATCTTCCATTAGTGTTATCTCCCCAAAATTATTTCATTGGCCCATAAAAAGAAATATTTATGCAGTACTATATGATATTATAAATGAGAAATTTTAACTGTAGTATAGATATAACAGTGCATACACCAAAAAAAGTTATAAAAACTCTGAGAGAACTGCCATCAAATATCTAAGATAATTTTACCAACTACATATTTATTAGAGTAGATAACAAAATTTTTCTAGTAGTGGTATTGGATTCACAATGGAAATTTGCAATAGAAATTGCTCATTCTACATTTACTGATTATTTTCCATGTCTCACTATGTGTTGTGCATATACTAAGTGCTTAATATGCTTGCTGCCTCGTTAGGCCCAGTGTTTTACAAAACAACTGGCCATGAATAGAGACATGGTCTATGGTGGTTATAAGAAAGCACAAAGCTAATGGACTTACTTAGGTATTGGAGCCACAACAGTAACAGCAGCTAGTTCACCAGAATCACTTGGTGTTGCCAGTCAGGTGAGACATATCATGAGTATGCCATTTTATCACTTTTTCCCAGTTTCCTGATTGCTCAATGCTCACCATATATCCAATGCTTTGGACCTTTTCAACAGCTATCCATCTCAGATAGTTAATCAACGCTCATTAATGCTGTTGTATATGGCTACTAATAGGTTATCAATCATTATAATTTTTCTATAATTGAAGGAAGGAAGGAAGGAAGGAAGGAAGGAAGGAAGGAAGGAAGAAAACATACCCTCTCCTTGTGTTTGCAGAGGTTAGTGTATGAGACAGGGGACTGAATAAGGAATAATGAACTGTTAAACTTGGTTGGTATGTTGGGTTACTTTTTCCTAAACTTCTTTTCTCCTTTTTTTAATTCTTTGTTAAAAGGCAACACTCTCTGGTAAGGGAGAAGAGAGGGATGTATTTGGAAATTAAGTAAAAAAAAATATAATTGATCTTCTCAATGTTCTTTTCCTTGGAGTTTTCTCCATCCCTCCCACTTCACCCTGTTCCCCTCCAAAAGGGAGAAGGAAAAGCAGTTGTTTATAAACTTGTCAGTGAGTACACGCATAAAAGAAATGTAATCTGTTAGAAAATTTATTTTGGACCATATCTGTCCATATTTGATGACAACTGGCAATATTTTAGTGTTATAATAATGACATACTCAAATCCCAGCAGCTAACTGTGGTCTCTGTCTCTTTGTAAATCTACACCATCACTACTAAGTATCAACTGACTGACAGTATGGAGTGAGGCCTTTTTAAAAATGGTTAAGATATACGAACCCTTGAATAAAGACAAAAAAAAAAATATCAAATGTATTTAAAGCAATTATACTTCAGGTATACATATTTAAGCTACTAGCTCTTCTTAAATTCCCAACTTCAAAAGTCACTATTTTCAAACATATTGGAAAAAACCTATAGATACATGAGTCTCAGTTGGCTTTATTTGTAAAATGAAAGGCTCGGACTAGATAATCTCCAAGATTCCTTTGAACTCTAACTCTAATCCCATGATTACATATATTAGAATGTCAATTTATTGATTTAGTATTTAAAAATAACTAGTATAAATAAAATGTAAACTATCGTAAGAGTTGTATGTGAGAAGCTGAAGAAACAGAGATAGCAAAAAAGTCACTACTTTCTTCAAAATATAGTTTTGAAGTTATTATAGCAGCTACAATTCAACTGTACTACTGTAGACTCTTTTTTACGAAATCTGTATCATTTAGTCCTGTGTAACACCTCCTCCATTAGAAATGTGGTGTCCTATCTGAAGGTATAGCTATCACATAACATATTAAAAGAAAAACATTCAAATTCTTTGCTCGTGGAGTTCCAAGAGGTCAAAAAAGTACAAGCATGCATGGAAGAACAACTGTTTAGTAGACAAAGAATGCCTTTTTATTGCTTCTTGTTAATGATTTAGAACTAAAAAAATCAAGTGACCTAACCCAAAGAATTCCAGGAACTAGAAAAGTAGGACGAAACACAGCATATAACTCAAGTTCACTCCATGCATTTGTACAGTACCTGTGCGCTGAATCTGTGAACATCATCAGAGGCACTGACTAGATCAATGGAAGACATGGAGGAAGAGCGACTATAGGGCTACCAGAGACAGACAAAGAAAAAACCAAGTAATCAGAACAAAGGCACAATAGAGCATTCAGTACCAACTTCCAAACACAAGATAAAGAAAAGGAAAAACAAAGCACCATATGAAATAAGCACAGCAAAAAGTGCTGACTTCATGCACCTATTATGTATTTTGCTCAAATATTGTTTTAAAAAGAAAGTAACTTTTCCAGTACATAGAAAAATGTCACTTAACCCTGATAATGATGAGCACTGATAAAGTTTGCCTGTTTTATATTTCTGATTAATTTGGCCAACCTCTTATTTTTTTTAATTAAAAAAAAAAGAAAAATATGTTTAGAAGATTTTTTATTTGTTTGTTTGGTTACAGGGAAAGAACAGAGAGATGAAAATGGCAAAGATATAGAGTACAACAAATGCAAATAACTTTCTTAAGTAATTTTGGAAATGAAGAAAATAGGTGATAAATTGGCTTTGCTTATTTAGGAAGATTTGCAAATCAAAGAATAAAATCTATACAATTTTCAAAAGCTATTTCTGTAAACAACAACAAAATTATATGGTATAGCTTTCTGTAAATTCTAAAGTCAGCCTTTCTTACCTGTTGGGCAAATCTATGAGTACCCACAGAAGAATAAACATCACTAGATGGTGGTAGGGATGTAGGCCAGTGCAATCGGCTCTTTTCACTCTGTGACTGGTGGGAGAAAGATGAGAATATTTTAAAAATATTTTACATCTCAAGAATAGATTCAATCTATAATTACTAGTTATTGAATACTCAGTATTTATAAATACATAAAATATGGGAAAAATTATCAATGTCCCTGTTCTGTTTGCCAAATCCTAACATTTCATACCAGCTTTTTCTGCCACTAACTCACCAACTCGTACAGCCATCAATGCCTTAATCCATGGGAAGGTCATTTTCTTTTCACTACCTTAATTTTCTCTCTGATTTGCTCAGCATCTTCTACTTAACCCTTCTGAGTCTTAGTTTTCTGATAATGATACTTACACTACCTATATCATCAGAGATTATGTGATCAAACATGAGTGAATATTAATTGCTTTTTAACTGTAGGCTTGTATTTTATAGTGATAAAATGTATAATGAAAAGAACACTGGACTGAAGGGATGAAAGATCTAGGGTAGAGTCCTCAGTTTGCTACTTTTGACCAAGGCACAGCAAGTCACATTACTTTTCTGGACCTCAGTTTCCTCATTAGTAAAAAAGAGCATGATGTGGTGGACAAAGAGCTGGCCTCGGAGTAAGGAAGACCAGGGTTTTAAGTCCTTCCTCTGCTACACATTGGCTATGTGACCCCTGGGAGGTCACTTAACCTTTAAGTGCCCCCATGCAACCATCTCAACCTAAAATATATGGGTTTGGGCTACAAAAACACCATTCAGAAGAGAAACACAGGCCAATTTTAAATTGCAAGGGTATCAAAGAGTATAGTGACATCAGCCTTTTAATAAAAGGACTACTTATATACAGTAACACTTGGTAGTAGTACAAATATGTTCCTCTTACAGATAAGGGCCATTATTGATCTACATACGTTAACTAAAATAACAGATGTGTACTTGCCAAATATCTTACACTTTTAACTGAAGCAGTTAAAATAGGTGCATAAAATTGTACCTCAAAGTGGCATACGTATGCCCTCTAGTGGTGAAAGAGGACAGCTGCACTACTACTGGATTGAGGCAGCATGAGATCAGGCACGGTAAAAAGAAATGTTTCATTTCAGATTTCATTGATGGAAATAAAGCTAATGAATGCATATAAAAAGTAAAAATCAACAAGCATTTGTTCATTGTCAACTGTGTGCCAGGCAGTGTGCTAGGAACTGGGATACAGCTACAAGTGAGCAGTTTCTGCCTCTTAAGGAGCTTATAATCTAGTGAGAGAGATGACATGGTCACAGATAAGTGAATAAGTTTCATCTACTATGATAACGGGGCTGGTTTAGGTGATTATAGCTCTAAACCAAGTAAGATCCTACAAAATGGTTTAATTAAATCATTTCCATTCTATATCTCAGGGAACTGAGGCTCAGAGTAACTTGCCTAAGGTCATACATAGGAAATAAATGACTATACTTTCTGAGGGAAGGTACCCTACCTTGTTTTACTAATTCAGTAATGTATGTTAGCATGTAGCCTTGTGGACACTAAATATTAAATAAATTGGAAAAAAAAGTAAATATAAGACATAGACAAAATGTACAGTGATGGAGGTTGTGGGACAAGCTGGGTACAGCAGTAACATCTGAGGAATTCTAAAAAGGACTCTGAAAGAACTTGGCATTTGAGCTAAGCCTTGAAGGGAACTAGGGTTTCAAGAAGTGGAAATAAGAGAGGCAGCTAGATGGCGCAGTGGATAGAGCACCCAGCCCTGAAGTTAGGAGGACCTGAGTTCAAATACGGCCTCAGACCAAACACTTGGCACTTACTAGCTGTGTGAACCTGGGCAAGTCACTTAACCCCAATTGCCTTAAAATAAAAAAAAAAGTGGAAATAAGGAAAACGTTCCAGGTCTGATTTTAAGGTCTATGCAAAGACATGGAGGTAAGAGATTGAATGCCAGGAACAGGGAAGAGCACATAGTCTGGTTTGGCTCAAGTACAGAGTAGGACAGTGAGTGATATCTAATATCTCCATTATATGGAGCTAAACTGTGAAGGTCTTTGAATGATAAAGGTTTCTGTATTTTATCCTAGAGGAAATGGAGAGAAAAGTGACATGGTAACAACATCTGTGCTTTAGGAATTATAATTTGTGTAAAGGATAAATTAGAGAACAAAGAATGAAAGGTAGGCAGATCAATTAAGACACTATTGCAATGGTTAGAACTAATGGAGAGAGTAATGGTAAGGAAAAGCTGAAGGGAATGGAAAGAATGACAATGACTGAAATAAGATATTCAGTATAAAAACAGAAAGACTTTAGTAATACAGTATACAAGAAATAGACTTATGTGATTATTACAAAACTATAAAAATTTTTTTGGAGGGGGAAAGGGGAGTGCTGCTTATTTTAAAATGAGGGCTATTTTTCTATCAGATTATTACTAAGTAAAAGACAGAGTCAATATTATTTGTTTTGATTTTGAAACTAAATGCATAATACTGACAAGAATGGACTAGAATATGTTTAAAGGAGAAGTAGAATAATCCTATTTCTATTTACTCTGATGTTAATTATGCATATCATACATACATGCATACACACAGAACACATTCCAAACAGACTTGTGATTTCCTTGGTATAGGAAACTCCCAGTAAGGAAATTCCTTCTAGGAAAAACGAGTAGCCATTCTTTTGCAGCTTTTCATGTTTCACAATTGCTAGAGATCACTAAGAAGTTAAGTGACTTGTCCAGGTTCAACAATGCCAAATGTGTCAGAGGCAATCCTTGAATCCAGGCCTCCTAACTCTGAGGCTAGCTCTTTATATCCATTATACCACAATGCCTATCAATAATTATATAGGACTTAATGAAAGTAATTTTATATTCCCTGGCTGTATTTTTCTTTTTTGTCTAGGCAATGGGGTTAAGCGACTTGAACCAGGGTCACACAGCTAGTAAGTGTCAAGTGTTTGGTCTGAGGCCAAATTTGAACTCAGGTCCTCCTGACTCCGGGGCCAGTGCTCTATCCACTGCGCCACCTAGCTGCCCCTTCTGGCTGTATTTTTCAAAAATACTACAGATCAAATTCCATTATGATAAATAGCATTATGATGAAATGATACCAAAAAATTCTGAAGCCTGATACTATTTTAAGTAATATTCAATATAAAATACTCGATGAAACAAACAAAAAAAGAACTCCACAACAACTTAGATTCTCTAGTTTTCTTTTACTAATGGATATGACCTACTACTTTGTTTTCACCCAAACACATTTTAACAAAAGATAAAGTATCCAAAATTCTCATTTGTTATCATATCAATATCTCTTAAAAATTAGGATGAAAGCAAATTACTATCTATGAAATAAGATTTTTTTGCATATTTAGTCCTTCTTTCCTACAGTTTCCTGTGAATCACCAGGGAAATGGAAATCTTATCAACTATAATGGATCTAAATGTGCTGTGTTTGTCTGTTTCCTGTGAGGACTGGGAAGGTAGAAGGAAATTAACAGTATAGGGTTACAGTAAAATTACCCATTGTGACAGACTATGCTTGGCTGTAGTAGAGAAAGAAAATCAGACTCTGCCTCTCACCCCATCCCCAATATGCTGTTTCAGTCACAACCTGGCCTTGTAAAGAAAGATCCCAGTTTTTTCTTATCTGCTATATTGGAACTGAAATGAAAACAAGGACATTTTTCTGAAAGATTTTTAAGTTCAAATCATTAATGCAGGCCAAGTTCATTCTTGACTTGAACAGAACCACTGGCTTCAAATAATAATACTGTAACAAACTTTCTGCATATAGGAAAGCATGCTCGTAATATTAATATTCATTTTAAAATTATATTAAAAATACCTGTTCTTCTATTTTATCTTGTCTGTCAAGAGCAGCTTCAACAGCATCAAAGAATTCTTCCTCATTTATCAGACTATTTGGACCTTCCTATTTCCAACACACAGGAAAAAGAAAGAGCACAATTAAGCATACATTAGAAACATTCTGTGCTGCAGAGCTTCAACTCCAATCTTACTCTACTGAGATCTGACTTATGCCATCAATTACATTTAAAGAACAATTTCTTACAATGTACCATATGTAAAAGTTGTAATTCTACAGTCGTTCATTCAAGAATTTATTAGAGACCAGTAAGTACTACTCACAATGCTCACAAATTGTGGGGGATATTAAATTATACACACTAAATTCTTTGCCTTCAAGAAGCTTATAACTTGGTTGAAAATTAAAAAAAAACTTTACAGAGTTAAAAACTCTATTTGATTAAATGCTAAATAATACAAATAGTTATGTGCTTTGGGGGTTCAGAGAGAAGATGAAGAGAAAATGACTGTGTGCTAGACCAGGAAGGTCACATGGGAGAAGAATAAGGCAGTCTGAGTTAATCCTGAAAGAATACAGGAGAATTAGCATGAACAAAAGCGACTGTGTTATGAAGCATATATAAAGGTGTCTATGGGCCACCTGGACAGAAAGTAGAAAAAGGATAGGCAACACTTCATAATCTAGGCACAAAATCATGATAAAGTAGCTGCGGGGAACTTCAACTACCAGGCCAATTACTGTAACTAGTGCTTCCTCTGCCAAAACCACAGCAGCTAATAATTTCTTGACTAGCCTAAATAATAACCACATCCTTCAAAAGGTGGACCAACCAAAAAGGGGGAAATCTATTACTGGTCATTTTTAGCAACAGGAAGAAAATGGATGCTGGGGTAGAAATGACATGAATCATAGGAGTCAATGAGCACTCCATTACAGAATCTGTAATGTAGAGGAAAGCCTAGCATAGCTTGATATGTCTGCAAAATTTGGGGAATACAGATGTCTAAAGGTGGAGAGGTAGGGAGGGTTCCATGTGAATAAAAATTTATAGAAAAGTCAGTCCAGAAATAATTTAAGGTTCTCTTTTTGTCAGAATTTCGTTTAAAATATTTGAATCTATGTATTAATGACATCTCTCTATAGTTCTTTCTTAGCTTTATCCTTCTCTATTTTATTTGCCTTATGAAGGGAGCTTAGCAGAATGTTTTCCTTTTCAATTTTTGAGAATGTATAGTATATGTTGTCAATTCTTTTAAGCTCTATTAAAGGTCAGAGAATTCTCCTGGGGGCAGGATAGAACACCAGCCCCGAACTCAGGAGGATCTGAGTTCAAATCCGGCCTCAGACCAAACACTTGGCACTTACTAGCTGTGTGACCCTGGACAAATCACTTAACCCCAATTGCCTTAAAAAAAAAAAAAAAAAAAAGAATTCTCCTGTAAATCCATTTACGTTAAGAATTGTTTATTTTTCATTAATTCTTTACAGCTAGTTTTCTGGGGTTTTTTTTAATGTGTGTATTTTATCTTTTGGGTAGATAAAGCACCACTTATTTTGAATCATGAGTTTTATAGGCATTTTGCTGTGTATTGTAGATTCTGATAATATATTTCTTTCATGTTATTTTACCTTTGTTTTTCATATTTTCAATTTTATTTTCTACTTTTTTCTTTTAAATTAAGGTTAGCTAAAGGTTTACCAATTCTGTTAGTTTTTTCAAGAAAATATCTTTCAGTTTCATTTGTTATGTCTAACCTTGAGAGTAAGTTCTTAAGAATCAAATTCGGAAGACATAAAGAGAAATCATGGTATGAGGGGAATTGTATAAAGAGACCAATGTGGGTGCATAAGGAACTTATCAACCTACTGAGGTTTTAAAAGCATACAAAAGCAGGTGAAGGAAACAGGATTAATTTTTTTTTAAAATCACGATATGTTCTGTAACAATGTCAAAAGAGATAAGCTCAGAATGAACTAAAGTTAGTGTGAAAGCTAAGGAAAACAAAAATGATTTTATAAGCCAAAGAAGGAATAGCATGACCATGCAGAAGAGCACAAGGAATAACTGATAAGAGAAGAAAGAAATGCTCAACTCTTACTTAGCTTCTATTTTCTCTGCCGAGAGGAATGTGATCTTTGCACCTGAAAATACTGAACAAAAAAAACCTAAAAGACAGCAGGTTAAGACGTTAAGAGAATACCACTTAGCTACTACCCTTGGTGAGTTCAAGTCACTCAGCCCAGCTGAATTTCATCTTTATATATTTACAGAACTAGTAAACAACAGCTGAACCACTGGCAATGGTGTCTGAAAGATCACAGGGAATGGACGTGGTACCACACAACTGGAGAAAGGCAAATGCGGTCCAAATTTTCAAAAAGAAGGAGAGGATGGAAACTGTGAACTAAAGCACACTCAGCTTGATCTAAATTCCTGGCAATGTTTAAATTCTAGAATGTATTATTAAATAGATGAGTGAACACGAAGAAAAGAAAGTAATCACAAGGAACTAGCATGGCTTCTTTAAGAACACAACACTCTGCATTTAAGCTTATTTCCTTTCTGAGTAAGATGACCAGCATGGTAGATCAGGAAAATGCTACAGACACAGTCTACCAGGACTTCAGCAGTTCGTCTGACATAGAACCGCACATGGACAAGATGAAGACGCACAGGTAATAGTACACTTAAATAGATTTGTAACTGGATGAATGAGTAACCATTAAGGACAGATTAACCTGGAAGAAGGTTATGCAGTAAAATGCACCAACGATCTGTGCTTGGCCTTCTGCTGGTTAACTTTTTCATCAATGATTTAAGTAAGATGCCATATTTTATCAAATTTTCTGGTGACACAAAGATAGCAGAGATGGGTAATTACCTGGATGATGCAATCAAGATTAAAAAAAGATTGATGGGTGACAAGACTGAGTCAAATCTAATAAAATTAAATGTATAGTCTTACATTTTTGTAAAAAAAAAAAAAAAAAAAAGAACTCACAAATGTAAGATGGAGGAGCCATGGTTAGATATCAGTTTATCTGAAAAAGATCTAAGAGGTTTAGTGGAATCCAAATTCAATTGAGTTGAATTATATAAGACAGACATTTTAGGTATAAAAAATGGGACTTCCCCTGAAGTCTTACTCTGGTAGTTTTCAGTTTTGAAAATTACAGGTTAAGAAAAACTTTGATAAGCTGTATAAATACTAGAGGAAGGCAATCAGAATGGCAAAAGGCCTGAAAATTTGTGCTGTATGAGAGGTGAAGGGATATTTAGCTTGCAGATGCTACAACTATGGTTGTATGTCAGGGAGAAAAAGCAGGTGAAAGAAACAGATGACACACTTGAGGATCAGCCTCAAGTACCTGAAGGGCTGGATGCAGAAGAGGGATTGATTTGCCTAATGTGGCCCCTGGGGCAGAACCAGGAGAAATTTGCTTGAAAGTAGATGTATTCTATAACTAAATGAGTATCATCACATAAGACCCAAAACAGAATTGGGAAAGAAGAAAATCTAGGCTAACCAGGAAGTTTCCAAATAACTATAGCTATTCAAAAATGGAAGCATGTGGGAAGCAGTACATTCCCACACTTTGGAAGACAATCCTTCAATAGCTTAATTACCACTTGTTGGATATATCATAGAGAGGATTCTTCTTCAGGTCTGGCTTTGACTAGATGACCACTGAAATATCTTTGAAATCTGGAATTCTGTGATTATGAGATAGTAAATAAGATTAATAAGAACTGAAGAAATTTTAGATTATAGAAATTTAATTATGGTTGTGGAATGATGCCTTCATTCTTCATTATATGTTTCATCAATCCAGATAATTAAATGTATGGAACGTGTTTCAATATTTCTATAATTAAATACCTATAATCTAAAATCTAATCCAAGCCATATTTGAACTTTTGGCAGCAAAAGAGAAATAAACTGATATTTAAATAGCATTTTTAAGATTTGCAAAGTACTATAACACATTATCTCACTCACTCCTAATAATAGCACTGTGAAGTAGGCACAACAGGCATTATCACCATTTGATAGTTGAGGAAATAGACTCAGAGAGCTTATATATGCCCATGGCCACACAGCCAGTAAGGGTAAAAGGCAGCATTTGAAACCAGGTCTTTACTGACTTCAAATCCAGAGCTCATTTCCCTAAACCATGATATCTCCAAGAAAGATAGGAAAATATACAGGTTGGTATATAGAAAAACAAGTAAAACTTTCCAAGTCTGAAAAGACATGATATCTTTAAAAAAAAATTTTTTTAAAAAGTCAAGAGGCAGAAAGCCAAAAAAAAAAAAAATTGAGAAGAAATTGAAGCTGCTTAAGAAAAGAAGCAAGGTCCTAAATGTCTTTACATAATTCAAGTAGTCTGAGAGACATTAATGTGAAGCAGAATCTAAGACTGACTGGAGAGGACGTAAGAAAAGAATCTAGTGGGCAGACAATTGAAAAAATCTGGGTATGAGATTAGGGTCTGGACTACAATGAAGATAAAGTCAGGATGGAGGGGAGGGATGAAAAGAGTGAGAGATCACAAATAAGTAAAAAAAAAAATATGGGACTGAGAAGCTAAATAAGAGGTCATTTGAGCTTAAAAATGTGTGGGACATCACTTTCCATGGGATTTGGAGAAAACTTAGAAATAGGTAAAGGCTACAGACTGGAACTGTGATTTCATTAGTACAGAAAGCCCCTCTATCAGTGCAGGCTAGCCGCTTCTCTGCAATTTAGAGTCTTAATTTTCTAGAACACTGAGACATTAAATAACTTCCCCAGTATCACACAGCTAGTATGTATCAAACGCAGGAGCTGAATCAAGGTCTTCCTGGCTCCAAGGTCAACTCTCTATAAATAATTAAATTCCAAAATTTACTAAGTATTTGCTATATGCAGAATCTTAGTTTTGGGGAGAAAGAGGAAGTTTTGATGAAACACAATTTGTGTCCTCATAGAGCTTAGAGTTTAAAATTAGGTTAAGGTAGAGATAATTATGAAACACTAATACATGATAATTGCATCAGAGGAAGTACAAAACCAAGTACTACATGAGACCTAAGAGGCAAAGGTTATTAACTGACATAAAGAAGGAAGATTCATGAAAGGCTTCCCAAAGATGGCATCAGAGATGAATAAAGAAACAGAATTTCACAAGCAAAGGAACAACGGGAGTAACATGAACAAAGGCAAAACACGCTGTTAACGAAAATAACAGGCCAAAAACAGGACTTTGGTTGAAAAAAATAGATACTGGGAAAGAGAAAAGATAAGGAAGGTTACATTAGTGATATTTTCAATATAGAAGCAGAATTATCTTCTTTTAATGAAGCTGGGGGGTGGGGGAGGAATGGGGGAAAGGAGGACTGGGCCTTGAAGGTAGTTGAGAAATTCTAGATACATTGAGATTAGACCCAGGTAATCAGATGAATTAAAGTATTTTTTAAGAAGTATCAAAGCCTTATTCACATTATACAGAACCAATTTGTTATGGGCTAATTTTAATAGACAACTTCCCTTTTAGCTTTGATAATTTTTCAAAACTTCTTAAAACTATAAAATACCGGGGCAGCTACAGGTGGCGCAGTGGAGAGAGCACCAGCCCTGGAATCAGGAGAACCTGAGTTCAAACTTGACCTCAGACACATAACACTCACTAGCTGTGTGACCCAAGGCAAGTCATTTAACCCCAACTGCTCTCACCAAAAAAATAAAAACAAAAACAAAAACAAACAAAAAAACCTATAAAATACCAAATAGTGATGAGTCCTGGGTCTATATCTAGGATAGCTCATTTAGGCAGCTGTCTAAATTCTTTTATCAGTACATTAAAAAAGCTGCTAAGATTCTCATTAGGCAGTTATTTTCCTCAAGGGCTATAACAACAATGAAGAGGTGAGGAGTTGGGGGTGGGAGTGGGGGTAGGGTGGGAGAAGAGAAGGAAAAATAGTCTGCTACACTATCAATGTAAAATGGCACCATAATGAGGTCATTAACAGTGACATCTTTCTACTTCACTGTCATGATGCTGGCAATGACCCAGACACAACTTTTTTTGCGCCCACTGTGAACAAGGCCAAGGACTTGATAGGTTCATTTGCTTCTGAGCAGACTATGTACACTGTATGCTTTTCCCACTTAAAAATCAATTAAAGGAAAAAAAAATCACAGATCAAGGTCAGTCTATGTATAACTATTTGTGCTAAAAGGGACCTTAAAAAACAGACTTTAAGTCAGAAAGAAGCTTCTTTAACTCCAAAACACAGGACTATATTTGTTCTAGGTCTATACTACTAAAAAATCTGTGAATGCTTTATAAGGGCTAAAAATCAAAGTGCAGGTACTTAAATTAATATAATAATCTACTTAAGTCATGAGAACCTATGATAAAATGATCTTCAGAATACAAGCACTGAAATTGCTCAAGTGTGGAAAAAGTGTTACTACTGAATTAGCAAACAACATAACTAATAGTTACTACACATTTCAGAAGGAACCAATTGGAAACGTTTTACAAATTTTGTGAAATCATGGTTGAAGTCAAATCATCTCAGTGGGTACCACAGTACAATTTTAAAAATAAAAATAAAGTTAATATAGTAGAAAAAAATTTTGAATTGTAAAGACAGCAATTAGTTTTGTTTCTTCTATAATAAAAACACAGCTGTAGGTTAAATTTGCCAATAATTATTTTATCTTAAGGGCTAATTTAGTTCCTTTTGATCTTTTTTATAATTATCAAGTATGCTTTTTTTCTCTCAAAATTTTTCCAATTTAGGAAATTAACATTTATTGAGCATTAGTTATTTCCAGGTACATAGGAGTTTAAGTCACATACTTCTAATTTTACCAGAAGAATACACACTTTGGCTACTAACATTCTATAAATTAATTTCTGAAGACAATGTAGTGAGTCAATTTGGTAATTGTTTGAGGACAAAATGAGATTATATTGATTTGCATAATTTTCAAACATGAGTACTTGTGTAACAGCAAATTGTGGTGCATTATGAACAATCTCTCATTATTACTTGGTAAATACCTTAAAATTCAGATCAAGTTAAAAATCCTTACTCTACATCTATTAAAAAAAAAACAAAACAATGGTTAATGAGCTAAAAGAAGATTAATCTTTCCAATGGCAAGTTCCTTCATAAATTTGTTTTTTTGTTTTTGTTTTCTTTTTTTGGCAAAAGGATGAACTCTTGCTATACCATGCAAACTAACCTATGTTAGAAAGCACATTTAGTTAACCCTATCTGAAATTAAAGAAATAGCTAATATAAAGAAAAAATCCCACTAACTTTATCTGTTTCTGAGATCTATTTTTACTAAAACTACAAATTCTCAAATGGACTAGGTCAGTCTATTAATACTCTGAGGTTTTGTTGTGAGAGTTTTTTCCACTGACAAATTGCAGTAAGTCTAATTTAGTATATTATGTCCTGGGGAGCTGTTAAGAGTCTCACAGGAGCCAAATCACTTGCCACTACCACAAAGCTATGAAATGTCTGTGGTAGAATTTGAACCCAGGTCCTTCTGACTACAAATACAGCACTGAGCCATGCTATCTCTCTGAAGGAAGTGAAAAATTAAGTTAGAAAATCTTCCTAGGCAGTTAGAGAACATTAATCGTGCACTGGTTCCTTAAAATAAGTTATCAATTTGGAAGGCTAAGATTTAATTTAATAATTTGATATTCCCTCTTAATGTTCTCATGTAAGAGCAACAGTCTATCCGGTAGGAAATGAAGTTTCCAAGTTAATAGTTTCAGGGAGACTTTGTTTTTTCTGTATAAAAAAAGAATGAAATTCCTACCTCATAATCTGGTCCTCCAAAATGGGATTTTTTCTTCAGTTCAGTCACAGCATTTTTGTAGGCTTCTTCTATCCTTCTCTTTTTCTCAATTTCCTGTTTAAAAAAATAGGCAATTAAAAAAAAACCTCATCTTTTGAAATACATGGTTCAGTTTTTTAAAAAAATATTACTATGAGTAATATTGTTTTACTTTACATGGGGGCTTCAATGAATCTGGAATTTGATCAAGTGGTATCTAGGAATATGTGAATAAACAGTGAGTTTCTATCAAAAGAAAGTATGTGTTGTACTTTAGACTCACTTTTCAAGAATGTTATCATTTATTATATAAACGTAAGACTAAAATTCTTCCTAGATAAAATGATGTAATCCATCAATTGGATTTAACTGTCAAAATATCTAAACACAATAGTTAGAAGCAATAAAAAGGCCTAAAATACCTTCCTGTAATTTCTTCACTGGTAATTGTACATGTTTGTTTGTTCTCAGAGAGGATGGAGAGATTACAAAATCAAAGCAAAGAAGAATTAATTGATTCAAAGAATGCTGAAAAGATGTCTTGAAACCAGCAGAAGCTCTGTTTTTACTTTTGATATTATTGATTTAATGAAATTCTACATGTTACAACACTTAAGATCAGTGCTTGTTTCTAGCAATTTCTATATATGTAACTACTGATAAATCACTTGTTTCATATGCTAGGTTTATTCATTTCTAAGATGAAGAGAAGCCACTTGACCTGCGTTGACTCCCTTAGGTTGAACTACCCTTTGTGACAAAGAATACAATCCAACAACAAAAATTCAAAATAGAAACAACATATATATGACGAGTACACAAAATTCTATCTTATTCTGCTCTTCTTGGTTATGACAGAAAAAAAATTTCATTTTTCTTCTACAGGAGTTGTTGGGTTTTTTCCATTACTTAATTACATACAAACTATATGCTCCAAGCAGTAGAATACTTAAGAGTTCAAATTTCTTTTGGTAATCTTTTCATTTACATGGTTGTAGTTACTATGCATATTTGTCTTCCTGAGTTTGCTTATTTCACTTGATAAATCTTCCAACTTTTAAGTTATTCATATTCAGCTTTTCTTACTAGATAAAAACACTCTACTACATTCACATACCATGTTTTTTTCTTCCTCCATAAATTCCATACATCATGGACACCACCTACTTTGTTGCCAGTTATTTGGTATCAAAAAGAGGACTGGCATGAACATTTTGGTATACTAGACCTTTGTTTCTATGGGGATTCTGGGGTCAATGGGTATGTACAATTCAGTTCCCTTTCCAAACCAAAATCCAGAAATGCTGTGATGCTTCATAGCTCCAACATGACTTTTTCTACTGTCTATCCAACTCTGTTCCCATTCTGGCAGTATTCCCAGTTTGCATGGTATTAAGTGAAAACTCAAATATTTTAGTTCGCATTTCTCTTAGTATTAGTGACTTGTAAAATATCTCATATGGTCATTTACAGTTATACTTATTCTAAAACTTTGTTCTTTAACTGCTTATCGATTTACTTGAGAATGCCTCTTGGTTTTACTACTTAGTGTCAACACAATTTATTAGATTTTTATCAGCTATTTTAAATATTTTCTCACAATTTATCATCCCTTCTAATTCTATTTTCACTGATTTATTTCTAGAGAAACCCTTTATTTTATATGGCCAAACTGATTTTATATATTATAAAATTTATCCATCATCTGGTTAAGTATTATCTCCCTAGCAATTGCTATGAACAAAACCCCTGATCTTGTTCTCTTCTCATTTTTTTTAATGGTCTGACATTTTATAATAGTCAGGTTGCATAATTTTTGAAGTTATTTGGCACAGCTTGTAAGATGAGATCTAACCCTAATTTTTACCAGATTTGTTAGCGGTTAGTCCCCTGCCCCTCTCTACCCATAAAGGGAGTCCTTTACCCAGGAATTTATGTTCTTGGATTTATAAAACACTGACCTGTTTTGAATTGCACCTGTTTCTTGCTTATCCCATCTTTTCTATTGATCTACTTTACTGTTTTCTAAGCCAATACCACAAAGTTTTGAATACTACTTTTAAAATACAGTTGGGTTTTTTTGGGGGGGGGTGGGGGTTGTGAAGCAATTGGGGTTAAGTGACTTGCCAGGGTCACACAGCTATTAAGTGAGGTTGAATTTGAACTCGGGTCCTCCTGACTCTAGGGCTGGTACCCTATCTACTGTGCCACTCAGCTGTCCCTTAAAATATAGTTTGAGATACATATTTCACTATTAACCTGGAGATTCCAGACATTTTTTGTTGTTACAAATAAATTACTGTCTAGTTACATAAAGTATTGCCTCAGTAATTTGATTGGTAAGCACTAAATTGAAGCACCTTATATCTAGAAACTTTTAAAGTTGTATTTATTATAAACCTCGTATATCTTTTGATAGGTTAAATCCCCAGATGTTTTACATACTCTGTAGTTATTCTGAATGAACTTTTCTTATCATTTCTTGTTTTTTTGGTTAGCAGATCTGTAAAGTTCCAATGATTTTTACGGATTTATTGTGTATGCTTGCTGAAAATACTTTCTTATTTATGTTCTTTACTGATTCTCTGGGGATTTCAACAGCATCATGTCACCTGCAAATAGGGGTAGCTGTCTCTGCTAATTCTCATATTAATGAAATAGCTAATATTTCTAGAACTACAAGCAGTTCCTCATTAATGTGAATAATAAATCCTCTGGAGGGGCTTATATTCAAATTCACACTACTCAAAGTCATAATTAAGTGAAATATGGTAACTGGCTCTAGCCCAATGGGAATATGTAGTGCAAATTAGAATAATGAGACCTCCCTGGGGAATTCATTATCTGTACTAACCAGGATCTAGCCAAATAATAGTCGAAAGAGAGAGCAACACTGCTCTAATGCTCTCTGTACTCACTGCGGAAGCTTCTATTATTGCTACAATGCTCAAAATAAAATTTACATGTACAAACTATATACTGCAAGCAGTAGTAATCAAGCTGAGAAAATCTGATTCATTCCCCTTTCTAATAAGTAGCGCATCAGAAGGAAATTTAATTTGAATTCAAATGTAAATTTAACAATTAGTCACATAGTACCTCAACAAGCATTCACTAAATGTTCACGAGTCAGGCACAATACTAAGCACTATAAATACTAAGAAAGGAAGTTCCTGCCCTCAAAGAGCTCACATTCTAATAGAGGAGACAACATGTAAATATCCATGCATATTTCACATGTATACAGAATAGACAGGGGTGATGATGCTTAGGACCAGCAAAGGCTCCCAGCAGAAAGTCATTATGAGTTTGGTCTTGAAGGAAGCTTGAGAAGTAAATTGACAGAGATGAGAAGGAAAAGCATTCCAAGTATGGAAGACAGCCAATGAAAAGGCATACAGCATTTAGTGTGAGGAACAGCAAAGTAGACCAGTAAAGTTGGATCAAAGAGTGTGGTGAAGGTGGAGGAAGTATGGGTAGAGAAGGAAGTAAAAGAAGATTAAAAAAATATGAAGGGGCTGGCTGTGGAGGGTGTTAAAAGCCAGAGGACCCTATATTTGATTATGCATTTGAACCATTGCATGTTATTATAAATAAGGGTGACTGAAAAGCTCTTTGGCAGCTACTGGAAGGTGGAAAGAAGTGAGCAATTGGAGAAAGAGGATTTACACAAAATATGCTGTAATGATAAAAACAAGACTAGACAACAAGATTCATTGGGAGGATGATAGTACCCTGACACTAATAATTAAACTGGGAAGAAATGAGTTGTTTTAAACACATTAAGTTTTAGATATCTATGTTACATCCAGTATAAATAAAATGCTTAAAAGGCCTTGGGTGATCTAGTGCTGTAACTCAGGGGAGACCAGGGATGGTTACAAAGCAATAGACATCATCTGCATAGAGATGATAATTGAATTGGAAGTCAGGAAGACCAGAGTTCAAATCCAGCTGCAGATATTCACTAGCTCTGTGATCCTGGGCAAGACACTAATTTTGTCTGCTTCAGTTCCCACAACTGTAAAATGGGGATGATAATAATAGCACCTACCTCCCAGGGTTGTTGTGAGAATAAATGGAGATAAAATTTGTAAAGTTCTTAGCTTTTTGCCTGGCACATAGTAGGTGCTTAATAAACGCTTATTTTAAAAAATCCATATAGACCAGAGGGTCTTAACTTTTTTTTTATGTCATGGACTCTGTGACAGTCTTTTGAAGTCTTTACATAATATTTTTTAAAAATACAGGAAATACATAGGATTATGAAGAAAACCAATTATATTGAATATAGTTACTACCATTAAAAAAAATCTTGAATCCCAGACTAAGGACCACTAGTATAAGGGGAGAATTGAGAAGAGGGCTCACAACAGACCCTTGGGGAACACATTTAGTGTAAATGGCATGAAGATCCCACAAAGGAGACTGAGAAGGAATATTCAGATAGGTAGAAGGAACAATGTCACAGAAACCTAAATTTCCAAAAATGATAAAGAATATTTTTATCTGAATTAAGACTATATGCAAATTCAGTCATAAAATGGAAAAATCACCTTAGCTAAATTAACTGAAGTCAACAGATGCCTTTTTCCATATTGATTTTAATGATTTAAACAAAATTATGTAAAACATACTTATGAATATTATATAATATCATCTTCCCCAACACTATTTACATACTACTTTAAGGTTTTCAATTTATACGGATCATCTTAGGCAGCTGGTGGCACAATATAGGTAGAGCACTGGGCCTGGAGTAAGGAAGACCTGAGTTTAAATCTACCCTCAGACACTTGCTAGCTATGTGACCCTGGGCACGTCACTTAACCTCTGTCTGTCTCAGTTTTCTCAACTATAAAATGGCACCTACTTTGCAGGGTTGTCAAGAGTATAATATTTATAGAAGTGCTTACCACAGTGCCCGGCATACAGTTGGCATTTTATATAAACACTCATTCCTTCTCTTTTTTCTCTTATAGAAACCTCACTTTGAAAAGGGTGTGGTGTTACTGACCACTCAACATATGAGGGAATTGAGGTTAAGTGACTTAACTAGAGTCATACAGTTAAGT